CTAAAATTTCTTTAAAAAAAAGATATAAAGACTGGAAAATAGTGTAAAAGTAAATTAAACATTAAAAAAATATATATATATAAAATAATTATTGAAAATAATGAAAAAAAATAATAAAGTAAAACATGTATATTTTTGTTTAATATATAATTTAATTAATTATTAGTTAGCCAAAAATGTTTATATGAATTTTGTATTCTTTAAAACTATTATAGAAAAGAATTCTTAATTTTATTGCCATTTAAACATTAAACAAAAAAGAAAACAAAACAGCATTAAATTGAATAAAACAAAAAGGTATTTTCTAAATAAAAAAAGCCAGAAATACTTTAACAATTTCAAATTCAAATTTTCCCATAAATAAATAATAACTAACAGCAACATTGCAATTTTATCATTAAATTAAATAATGTTTAATTACTATTATTATTTAAAAGAAATAAAACAAAACTAAATTCAAAGAAAACAAATAATAATATTAATTAATTATGCCTCAAATAAAATTCCCCTTAAACATTAATAACTAAAAGATGAAAAATAAATAAAATTGTTGTTAAGATTAAAAAAAAAACAAAAACAAAATAGAAAATGTTTTATAATCGTTATTAATAAATAAAAAGCAAATAAAAAATAAAACAAATAACTCAAATAAACAAAATCCAGGATATTAATTTCAATAAACAGCAACAACAACAAAATGAAAAAGAAAATCTTAAACTAAACTTAAAACGCTGCGTATCTGAAATCCCTTAAAATAATTCTAATTTAACAAAAGTAACAACAACAAAATTTTATTAATTATTTAGTCAAGTGCAAAAGAAAATAAATAAATTTAATTAAATGATAAACAAACAGTGGTAAACCAAAACCGAACAAAACATCTTTATAAAACTAACTAATTAATAAAAAAGAGAAAATTAAATGAAGAAAAATAAGTGATTAATATAAAAACAAAATAAAACAAAATCCAATTATTAAAAAATTAGTTTATTATGGATATTTTTCATTTTTAAATTTATATTTTTCCATTTTTACTAAACATAAAAACAATTTGATATTTCAACTACTTTTTAGTTTATTAAAGGTTAAGAATCGAAGATCCTTTCAACTGTCGTTTTCAGAATCCAGATACATGTCTAAAATACTCAAGTTTTGAAGTTTGAAAACCAAATGGCAAATAAATTTCAAGAAGAATATTGTTTTGAAAGAGTTACAATCACAATTCCTTATTTGAAATAAGTAATTGCGGGTCTTTAATGGTAGATCGCAGACTAAACCAAGATCTCGATTGGGATTACTCTGTGATAATCTTTAACTTAAAAATTTTCAGATTATCTAAAACCAAACTGGTTTTCTTTTTAAGACATTTACGGTCAGTTAACGGAAACGATTTTTACACCATAATGTCATATTGGTTTAAGCATAACGCCGATATAATGATAGTAACTTCCAACATCCAGTAATACTTTAAAAAACAAATCATTTACAGTCCTAAAATAATACTGATCGATAAAATTTAAAAAAAAAATAACAAGAACTTTTTTACATTTTCTTAGTTATATCTATAAAAATATGCTAACCTCAATAATAAAAAAATTACTTATTTCATATGATTCGAAAAGAACTATATAATGCGCAGTGAGGCATAATCAACATTTTTGGTAATATATCTGGCATTTCGAAACCGCTAGCCCGATCGGCACAAAATTGCATAGGTTTAAACTGGAATTTAAATTTTGAAAATAGACCCTTGCAACTTTGTTTACATTTTCAGTCTGAAACGCGATCATCTAGTGCAGTTCATAGCATGGAAATAATTTGAATATTTATTTTTATATCCAAAATCCTTACGATATTTTAAAGTAAGATCAGCAAAAGTTAGCAATGGTCTGGTACACATATGATATAAACCTTACCCCAGGAAGAGTATTCGGTTAGAGCTTTCTTTCAATCCGATACGGTCTTCGATTTAACTTTATCATTTGATATCGCCCTGATTTCCTTCTGGCTGTCGGTAAATATGTTAAGCCCTGTGAGCGCCATATTTATTCTAATCCAATTTACGCATTCTCTTATTGCTCGGACTTCTGCCTGTGTTGTGATTAGGTAAACGGTGGTATATTTTTATTTATGAGTCTTCTATGTAGAACCCGAGGCCTACTTTGTCCCTCAATTTAGAGCCATCCGTGTAGCAACGGATTCATACTGGTATTCTATCTGGGATCAGTTCTATCTGGCCACTTCAACTAAATTTATGAGACATTCTGCTGTAAGTGCCGTCTCATATCTTATATATGTTTTAGTAGGTGGAACCTAACCTTCAGAACCTTAGTTGACGTAGTACTCATGGCACCGCTTATACCCAAGCATCATGTACGCCGAAATCCCTGTAATAATATTAAATTTTTTGTCCTAAGAAGTTCAATAGATTATTGAAGCTTAAGTTGGATAAGTGTCATAGTAGGACCCATTTCATGCCTATGGTTCTCTTACATAGCGTCCAGCACCGATGTGCTGATCGTATCCTCTTCGTGGTGTCTTCATTTTAATTTCCGGTCAAGGATTATACCTAAGTACTTAACTACTTAGGTGTAATCCTAAGTAGTATCTACTTTCCCAGGAAACAAGGTTTAGTATACTTAGACATTTCTGTCATTCTTGTGAGAAGACAGATTTCCGTCCCGACAGATTTGAGACCTCTCGGTTGGGCCCAGCTTCAATGCCGTATTGAGATCCTCTTCAGCTTTTCTACACAAGTAATTTGAATCCTTTCCCCTTAGAAGTTCTACGACATCGTCTGCATAGTACACAGGACTAAGTTCGGCGTTTTCCACCGATCGTCACTTTACATAAGTCTGGTATATTATTATATACTATCCGCTCCAAGGATTTAAGTAGAATGGGCGTAGAGCTTATCGGTCGATAGGACTAAGGTGTCGCATAACTAGGCTTAATTGCTAGTATATGTAAATTTTAAGCATGCGGTGATGTACGGAAACCAGTCCCACCTCCATCTCCAAAGGTGCAGGGAAAGTACCATCCGGTCCTTATAGAGACCAAAGCTCTTGATTGCTTCCATACCCATGTCAGTTGTAATAACTGTCTCTGCGTTAGCCTCCTCTTCCCCAAATATAGGTTCATCTATGGTAACCGATATACATACCATGTGGGAAATGACAGTATATTAATAAAATATTGTCAACAAGTCGATCTTTTCCCAGGAAAAAGGTTTTTAAGCTCATTGGTATGTCAAAAAGCGACTTCACATAATTATTTCGTTGAAAGATTTTTCGTAAACTATTTTATTCTATAATATTGTTTTTTTATAACTAAAGTCATTTGTAAAGATGTAGATTGACTTTCGAATACATTTATATTTAGTTGCACTTAAAAATTGTTAAACATAATTGAAATTCCTGTAGTTAATTCTTGTTACAAATTCCCAATAGAAAAATTTTCTTTAAATTGTAATAGAAGTTTTGTATTGGTTCGAGTACAAATCAAGAAATGTTACCTATTTATAAAAGTGCTTAAATTAGAATTGTATTTAGTAGTACTCGTAAAACAGTTGTATAGTGTATGTATATATTGAAAAAACAAATTATGAAAAAAATCTGAAATATTAATACGATCTATATGTTTTTGTTTCAAATAACGCATCATTGAAGTATCTGGTAAGTTAAATTGAATTGTTTTTATTATTCTATATAATATATTTTCTAATAAATATTATTTTTTTATTCTGTAGCAAAACTTATTGTAAAGCTCTATATCTGTATATTCACTGTTTTTAATATTTCAATTTCTATGTTTTTACTACGAGAACGAAAATTAAAAAAAAAATAAAAATAAAAAATAATCTTATAAATAAAATAAATAAAACAAACACCAATATATTAAATCCAATTTTCTCCTGCTACTCCTCCTTAACCAAAACCAAATGCCTACAAATACAAATTCCATTAATCCTTAACACTTTTGCAAATGCATGAGCTTTTGAAAGCTGTTTGCTTTAAGTTTCAGAAAGCACGATTTTTTCTAATATTAATAAAAAACTTAAAGCTTTTTAATTTCAGTAATTGAGGAAATCGAAAAGCTTTAACAAAAATTCAAATGTAATGTAATGTCTGTAATTAAATGTAAATTATGTTTTCACTAAAAACAAAAACGAAAGAAGAAAATGACAACTTTAGTGGTAAATATGTGTTACAAAGTTAAGAGTTAATCTCTGAATAATAATGAAAAATATGACTTTGACTGCGTTGTAGTTTGAAATTCATTTAAAATTCTTCAAACTAGTTGGACTTGACTGTAGTGATTATAAAATAACTTTCAATCTAAGTGTCTCGTCATACGTATCATCCATATAATATCACACACTTTTTGTTTTCTATATATTTTCTATGTTTTTCTCTATGTTACCTTTGTTTATTTTTCGCTCTTCAAAAGCTCTTGTCATTCACTTATAAACATATATTCCATACACACATACACACATTGCAACACACTCACACATCTTCCACATTAAAAAATATGTCTCTTGTCGCTCACAAACTCTTTATCACTCGATCAATCATCACACTCATCAGTAAGACAAACTTAATAGTGTCGCTCATTTGATACCAACTATAGAACTATTAGTAACTTTTAGTTTGTATTAATTTTTACTTTTTAATTTTAATTATTTTTCTTTCTTTGTTTTGAGTATAATACGTTTCACTTTCATTTGTTTATAAAGTTTTCAATATTCTTTTCAATACATAATTTTTCTCTGTAAAATTGGTGTTCTTTATACTTTGTCTCTAAACTTCTTATTATTATATTAACTTTTGTTTATGATGTTTTATAATAACAAAAAGATAACTAAAAATGAAATGATAAATCCAAAACAGAAAAAAAAACTTATTTATTTAAATTTTCTCATTCAACATTTGTAAATTACTTCCTCAATAATAATAAAAACAACGACAACGCAACACATTCCAATTCTTTAGACCTGTTGGTTTTTGGGGTAAAATCGTTGGTTCGCTATGTGTGATAGCTGGTGTCCTGACAATCGCTCTGCCCGTACCCGTTATTGTTAGTAATTTCAATTATTTCTATCATCGCGAGACGGATCAGGAGGAAATGCAAAGCCAAAATTTCAATCATGTCACAAGTTGTTCATATATGCCCGGTGCTTTAGGTAATTTTACAATTAACAATTACACTCAACTCTCCTCCACTCTCTTTTTCTGTTTAAAACACTTGTTTCAAATTCTCTCTTTCGCTTGACACAGGTCAACATTATCGAAAATCATCATTGTCTGAATCGTCTTCGGATATTATGGATTTAGATGATGGTATTGGTACTCCGGGTTTGACTGATCATCCAGGACGTCATTTAGCTCCATTCCTAAGGACACAACAATCTTTTGAGAAACAACAACTTCAATTGCAATTACAACAGCAACAACTGCAACAACCTCAACAAAATGGAGTAAGAGGGTCTAGTACTTTAAACCAGAGACACAATAGCGCTATGGCGGTCAGTATTGAAACCGATGTCTGACTACTGGGTAAGTAAATATTTTTCTCTTCGATCACATCCGTTCGTACAACAGTCTGACATTATTATTTCGAACGCTTTGTCCAATTTTGTTAAATTTTAGTAAAAAACGTGGAGCATAGTATTAATTGGCGTCGTGAGATGTTACGCTGGATGCCAGAAACGACATCAAAGGCGGTCTAAAAGATCATTTTTTATGAAAAATGACAAAACCAAAAACGTTATTTTTTAGAAAATTCAAATAACCAAAAAAATAAATTTATAATTTTTTATTATTTTTTTTAGAATTTAATAAAATTGAAAAAAGAGAAAAACTTAAAAAAATAACATTTAGCAAATATCATTGTTAGTAAAAAAAAAGAAAACCAAAGGATACAAAAATTAAAAACCAACAAAAAAATAAGAATAGATAAAATAAATTTAGTTAATAATTAGAAAACAATTTTTTTAAGACAAGCTAAATTAAACAAATAAACTAAATCAACAATTAGCTTAAAATTAATAAATAAAAACAAACACAAAAATTATAGTATATTAAAGTATAGACAATTAATTGGTTTATAACAACTGTAGTGAATAAAAAATAAAATAAATAAATAGTAAATTATTTTATTATAACAGAAACAATAAAAGACATAAAATTAATTTCAGTTAAATTTGATTTAGATTTGGTTTTTCAATTACATACATAGAACACTACTCAACAAATATAGTTTCCAAGCGACAATTAAATTGTCACAAGTAGCACTTTTTTTAAATTCATTAGGTATGTGGTTTTTTCTTTAAAAAAGATTAGACCGAAGCATACACAGTTTATGTTAATATACATACACACACACTATCAAATTGAAAAACAAAAATATCCTCGCATATTTGGTGCCTGAACAATTTGAATAAAAGACAAATTCTACGATCATTTTAAATTTATTTTTAAACCATTAATAACACATTTTTTAAGATGAAAATTTCAAAATTACATAAAGCTAAACATTTATTTGTAAAACTGCATTCTGCAATCGCTCAAGAACAAAATACTTATAACAGATGACAGACAGACATATGCCTTGCCAGAGGATTTATAAAAATTCTAATTTCTTTTGTTGAGTAGTGTTGAATTTATTTTCTAAATAATAATAAAACAAAAAAAAATAAATGCTAATTATATAAAACAAAACTGCCGTTAATTTAAATAATAAACTTTAAAATATATAAAATTGAAATAATGAAAAATAATATTAATTTTGTAAATATTAGAAAATGAATAATAATTTAATGCAATAAATAAATTCAATATGAAATCTTCCATTCAAATAATAATAATCATTAAAACCAACAACAACAACAACAAGAAAAAACAAAACAAATCTTAGATAACAAATTTTCAAAATATCTTTTCAAAAACAATACTAAAAAGTAACAACTTTCAGTTAGGCTTTGTTTTTGAATTTTCATCATTTTTTAAATATTAAATATTCAAAAGAAACATGCTCTTTGACCAAAAACACAAAATAAAACTAAATAAAATTAAAAAAAAATCAAATACTTCAACTTTTGTCTACTTTTTTAAAAATTATTTATTATTGATTTTAAATTCAAATTTTAGTTTGCTTTTTTACTTATTCACTTAATAAAAATAATGATAATTACTAACAATAATAAAAATAATCTCTTTCTATATATGTATCTATCTAACTCTCTATCTCTCTCTCTCTCTTTCGGACCATAATTTTTTTGATAATTGTCCTAATCAAAAAATAATAAAAATTAATGAAAATATTAAAAAAAAATAAAAACAAAAATCAAATATTCTAAAAATAAAATGACTGAACCACAAAGAAAAAAAACACTCACACACACTCACAAAATTTTTAATTTTTAAAAATATTATTTTGCTTTTTATGAACAATATCTGAAAGTGTACATATGTAAACTAAAACTAAAATAAAATTAAATAATTAAAAACAAAACAACAATAACAACCATTTATATAGATAATCATGTAAAAAAAAAAAACAAAAAACAAATTATAAATGAACAAAAATTTAAAACTAAATAAAAAATTATAAATAAAAGAAATATAAATAAAAATACAATTATTAAAAAAACATGAAACGTTATCTAAAAGCTTTGAATACCGTCCACGCGATTGCATGATAAAAATGATTGTTAAATGAACAAAAAAGAGAACAACACACACACAGACAAACCAAAAATTTATTTCAGTTAATTAATTATTTTTTAATATTTGTTACAAGATATTATAGCAATTTTTTTCTTTGTTTCGCCAGAGCCTTTCTTTCTGCCTTTTTGTATATTGAAATTAAATCTTTTACTTTAATTTAGTTTACATGGAAATTAGAGAAATAAATCAATTAAATTAGCAAAAGTTGAAGTTTCAATAAATATATATAAATTTAAATAATTATGTATCTATGTATAGCACTTACTATGTTTTAGTAGATATTATTTAATTATTTATTTATTCCTCAATGTACATACATATGAATTAGACCAGATTTTGATTAAAAAAATCATTTGTCTTAATTTTATATATAGAATAACAAAAGTACTATTTAAAGTTAGTTGGATAACAAGCATCCGTGGGTGGCACAATGCGAAATTGTTAATTGAATTAAAACTTTAACTTTTTTTAAAATTACTTAAATTGTATATGCTTTAGAAGATACATATGGACAATTTCGTGTCAAGTGACCCAACTTTTTAAATCGATGTCTTCGGATTTGGATGAAAATTGCTTCACAGTTAGTATTATTGTATAGTAGGTCAGACACATAATTTCAGCTATATCGGTCCAAGAACTACCGGACTTAGGAGGGATCAAAGTTGGACATTTTGGTCATACAGGATTATATTCAAATGAGTGTAACTTTTCCTCTATTGGTCGTAGCTTTAAAGGCTTTATAGTCCCATAATGGGACAAAATATTTTTTAACTCAAGAATAAGATTGTTTTTAATATTTGTTCTTAATTTTCGCCTATTTTTTTCAAAAAGAAAGTATTTTTTTTTAATTTTTAAAATAATTAAAAACAAGTAAGAAATTATAGTCGGGCGTGGCCGACCATATGATACCCTACACCAGTTATGAATATTAAATGTGATTTATTTTTCATAATAAAGCATTTATCTTCAATATTCCCTTGTTCCGATACATTTAAGCAATTTATGGATGAAAAACCAATTTTCTGAAAGAGGCTTTATATGGGGGCTAGGGGCAAATATGGACCAAGCCCGATAAAATTTTGTGAATATATTTATATTGACATAATATTTTATTGTGCTGAATTTCATCGCGATATTTGTGTTTATACGCTTATTTGGGACATTCAAGTAATTTTCTGAAGGGGACTTTGTATGGGAGCTAGGGTCAAATGTGGCCCGATCTTTATGAAATTTGGCAGGGTCATCAAGACTTCTATAAAACTTAGTTGTGCCGTATTTTACCGATATATCTGTATATTTAACATAATTATGAGCTCAGAAGCCCTTTTCGGGGGGTTCTGTTCTATGGGGGCTAGGTGAAATAATGGACCGATTTTAACCATTTTCAATAGGCTTCGTCCTTAGGTCAAATAAAACGTGCGTGCCAAATTTCATCCAATTATCTTGAAAATTGCGACCTGTACCTTGCGCACAAGGTTTACATGGACAGCCAGCCAGACGGACGGACGGACATAGCTTAATCGACTCAGAAAACGATTCTAAGCCGATTGGTATACTTTAAGGTGGGTCTAGGATGAATATTTTTGTATGTTACAAACATCAGCACAAATCCAATATACCCTCCCCACTAAAGTGGTGTAGGGTATAAAAATAAGTAAAAAAAATATTAAAAAAATATTTTTTTTGGAAACAATGAAGAAATAGCTATCTGAACTCCTTTGAACAATTTTTGCTAGGACCAATAGGTGAAAAGTGTCCAACGTTGACCCCCTCTAAGTCCGCCAGTTCTTGAACGATAAACCTGAAAATTTGTGTCTGTGCCTACTACCAACTAGTACTCAACTTGATGTAAATTTCATCCAAATCAATTCTTAGAGTTGGGTCACTTGACACGAAATTGCCCATATAAGTATATACCTACATACAGTGCCAGCAAAAAAAATCGAAACAAGAAAATTTTTCTGCGAGACCCTCGATTCAGCTGTCAGGTTCCATATAATCAATAAATTGCTGATATAACCAACCTAAAAGCGAAAAATCTAAGCAAAAAATCTATTTAATTTTCAAAAGAAATGAAAAACAATTATTCTTAAATATTTTGTTACATATAACTTGTTGCTATTATTTTTTCCAAAGCCTATATCAGTTAAATTTTAATAAAAATTTCCTGAGTCCAAAAAAAAACTATAATATCTGAATAACAGAAGAAAGTACACATATATAGCTTTCATTTAAGATATTGATCCTCAAATTCTACCATGTAGTTCAGCAGAAATTATATTCACCACTGATAAATTTCTTGTCTCTATTTTTTTGCCGGCACTGTACATATAGTATATGCATAATACAATTTTCAATTCATTTCACTTGTTATCCGATTGAAATCGAATTTGAAATCAGTTTTTAATATTTTAAATAAAACTTTATCCGTCTACCCACAACCAATCCTATTTTTGTTAGAACAGGTCTAATGAACACGTACGAGCCTAAAAGTATGTATGTCAGACAAATATTGAAAATTAAATCGAATATTAGTCCTTCTAATAGAACTAGAAGTAGTATTGGTGCGAAATTTAAATAATGTGTCAGCAAAACTGCTCTTTATCTTGTTATATTTAATGTAAATTTCTTGCAAATAAATTTTTAAATTACACTGATAATTCCCTTTTGTATTCGAAGCCATTTAGTGTCTTAATAAAACTTCATGTTGGAAATTTAATAAAAGGAGTAATGAACTCCACTACCTACTAAGTATTCGTTTATTGATGCAGAAAAATATTTAGTTTGACAAAAAAATATACTTTTAGGCCAAAAGAATAAACAAACAACTTAGAAATTACCTTTGTAGCACATCAAATTAAATTTTTAATAAATATTAATTATTATTATTTTTAAACCTAAATATAATTATATTTATTTCCTACAATAACAAATATTAAACATAAAGCTGCCATTTGAAAAAGTTATTCAATAAGAATAATATTAACAATTCACAAAATTTCATTGTAAATATATTAAATGTTTAGAAATATTTAACTTAAATTTAAATTCCATTTTGTTTGGATACAAATGGCCTATATTCAAAATACATAACTGTTTTATAACATGTTTTTATTATGGGTTTTATTAAAATTTGTTTTGTCCCCTACAATTTGTGATTCCTTATTTTAATGTTTAATTATCCTTAAAAAAAATATATACAAACTTATTCTGTCTTGCTTCTCCTTACTTCTCCTCTCTAAACGAAAGCATTAGAAAATATTTAAATTAAAAAAAAAATAACATATCGATTTAAAAAATCTGTTTATTTTTGATTCAATTAAACTTATTAATAGAATTTTTTTTAATTAATGCTTGTTTGAAGGAAAACATTAATAAATAATAAAAAAATAAACAAAATAAATAATTAAATTCACTCATACATTAAAAACTTCAGATAATTAAAGGAAAAATGCCAAAAATGACTTATAAAACCGAAGTAAAAGATCATTAAGAATATTTTATGACTCAATTATTAATAATAATACAGAGCTTTGCCAGAATAATTAATATTAAAATAAAATAATAAAAACTAAACTAAAACAAAAATATTTTTTATTTTGAAATTTATTTTTATTAACAAAGACTGGAATAAATGGAAAATATTTAAAAGAAAAATAAAAAATAAAACACACACACTATTCTGGTTAAATTTTAAATTATGTTTAATAAAAACCAAACAAAAAAATAAATACAGAAAAAAAGCAATGTAAGAAGTGAAATGAATACATTTAAAAATAGTCAATTCCAAATTTAAAAAAGATTATTAAAACAATATTTAACATTTATAAAGTAGCAAGAAATATTCTGCAATTGCATATGTATGTGAACACTATATGTAATTGGAACTGTTAAACTGGTGTATTTTGCATAAAGTTACATACATACATAATCTTGATATTTATAGAAAGCAACACGTTCATCTGTGCAAAAACCTGGTCACTGGACGAATTGTAAACATTCTATATGACTTTTCCATTCTAATAAGACTTTTTTATTACTTTCGTTTTCTAATAAAACTTGCTACTAAGTTTGTTAACATTTTGTTATTTTTATTTTATCTTAATTTTCTTTTTTTTAATTTTATTTTTTTAATCAGTCTTTGAATAAAAAAAAAAAACATTTTTAGCAAATAAACGTAAGATTGCAAGAATAAAAAACAAATGATGCTTATGATATTTTTTAAATGTAATAATTAAATTAAAAACAAAAATATTTAATATACAATAATTTAGAAAAAATAATAAATAAACAAATTAAAATCATTTAAAATCCCTTAAAAGTATTAAAAAAAATAAAGAAAGAATAAACCTTTATAAGAAACTGTAACTAAAAACCAAAAACATCAAGTATGTAAAAATCGATAATAATTATAAATTTAATTATGAGTTACAAACACAAAATCTAAACAAAATAATAATGCTAAATAAATAAAAAAGAAACAAAATCATTAGAAAACTTAATAATTGCTAAATACAAAAAAAAACAAAAAAAGTTGTTAATATTCTAAAAAAAGTTTTATAAATTGTTAAAAATATAAAAATAAAACCAATCTGATTTATGAATAAAAACTTATGAAAATATAAAAACTCTTTCCCCTCCCAAAAAAAGAATAAAATAAAATATAAAAAGCGACATCTTGAGGATAGACGAACCCAAAAATAAGCAACTGCAGCAGTTGATCTAATTAAACAACTAATAATTTTGAAATATAAACGAAAAAGAAAAAAAAACAAATCACTACCAATACAGATACACAAATACAATACACTCAAGATACAAACAAACATACTAACACACCCATCCCTGTCCTAATAAATGCATTCCTTTATGATACAATAAATAAATGAAATTAAAAAAATAAATAAAAAATACCAAAAAATTAATAAACAAATTATTGTAAAAAAAAATATCAAAAACGTCTAATATTTATCTAATGAATTGTTTGAACATATGTAAATGGTAAGTAATCATTGTCTGAAAGCTCATTACATTAACAAACACGTAGTAAACTATATAATACTCAATATTTTTAATAAAACATTCGATATACAAATGAAAAAATGCTTCATACTCATGGTCAATGTATAAAAATATATAAAAATTAACATTTTTAGAAAAAGTCTGAGTTTATACTTAAACGACCATTTATTCAGTGAAAACAACTGAATACTGAACCATCCAGTGTTCTGTATTTTTTATCATTTCGAATGTTACAGAACACCGGCACTGATGCTTTCTTTGTTCAAAAGTAAATGATTTCCTTATATTAAATAAACATGGCGGCTAATTTTACTAATTGTTAAGTTTTTAATTTAACGTTAAAAAGTTTTGAAGGATTTATAAAACTTGTCATCACGTTATAAGGCCGCTTAATATTTTTTGAATTTAACGTTAAAATTCTCTAAAACTTGGCAGCACTGTTATAATGTTGCGATAGCGCCATCTATTGTTTAAATTGATCTCATTAACAATTTCAAGAAATCGATGTGGCAACATTCATTCGAAATTCACAGGCCGTTACTAATAGTCTGGCAACCCTGCAACAAACATTTTCAGATTTTGTGAGTGTTGCCAGACTGTTTTCCATAGTGGGCTGCTGTTTTTGAAGAAATGTTGCCACATCGATTTCTTGTTTTTTAAGATGAGTTAAATAAAAACAATAGATGGCGCTATCACGAAACTATAACAGTGCTGCCAAGTTTAATACACGTTTTAAGGCATTTTAACGTTAAATTCAAAAAATATTAAGTAAAATACATTTCAAACCGGTAGTTATTTTATGATTATTATACATAATTATTTATAATTCGTTTTTTATTGTTGAAAAAATAAATCTTACAAATTGTAGTTGTAATTCTAAATTATAAATGCTACAAATAAATTACTTTTTTTTAAATTGTGAATTATATGTATGTAAGTAAGTATACTCTATACCTATGGAATAGTTAACAAATTGACGTTCGATTAAATATTAAAATCACATGTCTTAAGCTGATATGTGGAATTAATAAAATACTTAAACTGAACTTAAACTAAGTGGAGAGAAAGGATCGAAACAACGTGATGATGGTGGCAAGTGAGTCTTTCCTTCATACTTATGTATATAAACAGACGTTGTAGGTTTTTGCATTCGTTTTGCTTTTGGGTTAGAGTACATGTGGAGGGTTATAATAATTAATTAGAGTATATTTGAACATCTTACAGATGGAACCGAACAGCTAGTGGATAGTGGTAAAAACTGAATGTGATTCCAAGTGGCGTTAAATCTAAAATTAAATGAATTTACAATTTAACAATGAATTCACAATTTAACAAGTTTAATACTTACAAGTATCTTTCAGCCAATTTTTGTTCCACATGGGGTTTGATGCGAGCATAATCCTTTTTATCGGCTATTAAAGTACTACAATGCTTTTGCATATAAGCCAAGGTAAAAAGTTCGTTTTCATTGAACGATCTTAAACCCGGCAACCGTAAGCGTTCCGTTAGCCGTAAACTCTCGTATGTATGCTCCTGATCAAATGAAGCTCCAATTATGGGAGAAGAACTGTCGATGGCGTTAAGAAAAGAACTAAGAGCTTTTGCGGTAATTTTTGCTGAACTTAGTGTAATGTGGAAACTCTTTAAGGCATGTTCAGAAAGTTCTTTCAAATCATCGGCATCTTCTTCATCAGCTGTTATACAACCCACATCCACTTTCGCCAAATTCAAACTGCTAAAAAATGCATCTGTATTATCGGATTTAAATTGTTCGACAAACGTTGAAATACTATCGATAAGAACTTCCAGTATATCGGAACCAATGCGCGCGAAATTAACAGCAACTGGATAACGATAGTCATAGTACGCAGATGTTGTTATACTCCGCGATATAACCAACATATTCAGCATATTGGAATAGGCCACAGATGGCGATTCATTGTACGTATACATTTCAGAAATAATACTAAGGAAGAAATAGTGTTATTAATACATATGTATGTACATAGTTATAGCAATTATTAGGTCTACTTACGTATCAATAATATTTAAGGCCTTAAGTTTCTCTTCCATGCGCGCCTTACGGAAACTCCATATAGATTGTAAATGTTCCACAAAGAATAGATTGTTTAGTAAAAGATCATTATAATAGTCTTTAATGTAACTTTTATTTGTCAGTACCTCTTCTGGTATACCAATTTGCAAACGCATAGTTGTAAGCTGGATTAACGAAAAAAATTTAACTTTA